AACGAAGAAAATAACAATGACTGCAGCAGATGTGGAGAAAAAGCAAAGCGGGCTAGAATAGTTGCGGCAACTGCCACTGCCAATGCCATTGCCGCTGCCGCTGCCACTGTGGAACGCATCAGCGTTGCAATATTTTGACGAAGACGATGGCGGCAATGATTGCACTGATGTTGCTTCATGTTGATGTTGTTGATGGCTGCTGGGTTGTTTGGCAAATCATGTAATACACATGTGAACCACGGCTGTTGTTGCTAGTTTTTTGCCGCTCTATGTTTAAGCAACAATGTTCGCTTTGGGCGGCCAAAAAAAAGTGGCCAGGGCGCATTACACACACACACACACACACACAAACACATAGTACTTGTCCACATCAATTCGCACTCATACACACACATACATATAAGCGCACAAATGCATACCTCAGCGTTTATGCGGCTCAATAATGGGTTTTAGAAAAGGAAAAATAAACAAAAAACAAAAAATCAACAAAAACTACAAAAGCGCAATTGGCGCTGGCAGCGTTTAATGGCTAACAAACAATTTTTACACTAGACTTTTTTTTGAGTTGTAAGAAGAATTTTAGCAAATTGTGTTTCGGAAGAGCTATGGAAGAGCTGTGGAAAAAGTGGATTAAAAATATAAATTTTTGAATAGTAAATAGTTTTCTAACCAACAGCAATGCTACTACTCATACAGGTTCAGCTGCAATTAAGACATACACCCACTGAAGTGAATCTACCGAGAAAGTGGCTTCGTTCTACGATATCAAAGGCCGCAGACGAACGAAAACTGGTCTATCGAAGAGCATACAATTTCCGTGCAACTAACCGTAGTTTTTCAAAACTGAAAACTGAAACTGAACTGGTGTTAAAAGTGCGCTGTGCTGGAGGATGGCGCGGAGGCATGGACCCTGAGAACATTTGATGATGGGGCTCTTGTATTTTTCGAGAGAGGGGTTCTGAGAAAGATTTACGGGCATTTGCGCGTTGGCGATGGCGATTACCCCAAGGCCTAGTGCAGCGAATTAAAATCCAGCGGCTAGGTTATATAGTTCGAATGAACACAAACGCTCTGAAAGTATTCAACACCGGTCGCGAGGTTGGTAACAGAGGAAGAGGAAAGGCCGCCTCTGCGTTGCAAACACCATTTGGAGAAGGACTTGGCTTCACTTGGCATTTTCAATTGGCGTCAGTTGGCGCAGAGGAGAAACGACCGGCGTGCTGTTTTGGACTCGGCCAAAATCGCTTAAGAGGTTACAGCGCCAATAAAGAAGAATACAATCATGCTGTGCTTTTGCTCTGAACGCGAGCAACATAAAGCCTCTACAAAGCTTTATAAAGCTTTTCCTGCGGAGAATTTCCAGTTATGACTAATCCATATCCGAGACGACCAAAACATAGCTCACGGATAAAGATTTTTAAAGCTCGTTCTAGATGTCTCTAATGTAGACACACGAGATCAAAATGTTGTGAAAATCAGAATTCGAAATATATCTTTGAGGAAGATAAATATGCTGTTTTTTTTATTGGAGGACAACAAATAACGAGCGTAAAAAAAAACACTGTCAAATGACGCTCCTAACAAAAAATTCGTGGAAAAGTTTTTCGTAAACTTCGACAAATACATTTGTTTTTTAACACAGGTTATGTTCGAAAAATTTCGACTAAAATCTTTCTTATGTTCTGCCATTTTGACAGGATTGTTTTACTATTTCATTACTATTAAATTTTCAGGCGAAACGCAAATGCATAACCCGATGTATTCGAGTAGCATGTTTGAGCATGAAATCAAGTTGAAGCGAACATTTAAATTTTAAAATAAATACCGATAGATCACTTATACTTAGGTATGCAAGATGGAGTAAGGTTTTGAAGGCCTGATTCCCTTTTTCTGGCCACTCCTTCTAAGTTAAAAGCTTATACATATAAATATATTTCCTCCATCGCACGTACACAGGCGCATCCTCTAATTGTCTATTATTTTATTCTATCTAAATACTAGACTGTCAGGTATTTGTGTACACATATATGTACATATATACACACATGTGCATACAATAACGCTGCTAAATTTCAAGTAATAGCCAGGCAATGACAACAACAACAAGCGTAGACCTACACTTATTTTTGTCGCTAAATTGCCACAATTTCCAATATTTATTTTTAAAATTTTCAATTAAAAATCTTTATGAAAATGTGCCAGTATGGGTTGTAAATAGGCCGGGTGTGTGTATGCAAGTAAGTGTAATATGCATAGATACCCGAATGGGCACATGTACCACTTACATAAATGTCTATGTATGTATGTATGTATCTGATCGTATCTGAGCGAGTGTATAGAACACTAATTTGATTGCTTTATTTAAGCTTCTTTTTTTTCTGTGCTGCTGCATTGTCTTCTTGGCCACTTTACTCTGTGATTCTTATAAGCTTTATTGGCCGCCGTGCGCATACAAATTGGAACAGCAACCCGTTTTTCCTTTCACCATCCACGTTAACAATGTCATAGTTAAAATAAGTGCAACAATATTGGACAACAAACTAGTAAAGCCATTCAGTAGCTATACAAATGCATGTTTATGTGTGTGTTTAGATACATACATACTTCTGTGGTCATAAGCAATGACCGCCTAAGTCCAAAAAACTGAATTCCAGAAACAACGTTTTAAAAATTTGGATTGTAACGTTAATCTTATGGGGTAATCCAAATATGATCGTATATAACTTTTTAAATAGCCTAGCTGGCGAGATGAGGATTTCACATACACATGGAATAGTAGTTGCGGAATGCGATAGCATATATAACTCAATTCTTTCTCAAGTCGACTTAAGCGGTTATTGCTTATGACCACGGACATATGTATGTATGTATGTACAAATGTGCTAGCTAATGCGGGTATTCTTAGCAATGTTGTAAATGTTGCTGTTGCTATTGCTGTTGGTTAAGCTGGCATGGCCTGCTAAATACAAACTATTAATAATTTCAATTTAGCCACAAATGACGGAAATATTTACTTAATGAAATTGTTTTCAACAACTAATCGAATATTAAACAGCACATATATGTACAAACATATCCATGCACACAAAAATGTATGTACTTACAATTACAAAGCAAAATATGCCCGCGAACTTCCCAATCGACAGAAGAATTGTGTTTAGAACGTTGTCTCAAGTAGCACACTGGTTTAAAACTTGGTGTAAATTTACAAATTTTAGTGTAAATTTGATAAATTGTACCAAAATTCACAAATTTACACCCAGTCATACATCAGTGTGCTACTTGAGGTACCTCCTACTGAATAAGACCAGTTTAGTTTAATTAGGATTGAAGATGAGGGTGCTATCAGCAATTCATTTCGTCGTCAGATTTTCATAGTTTTAGGGGGTCATATAGGGGATCAGACATCTATTCATAACTATAGGAGCCACGTAGACTGCATAGTCAATCAATCGGAAATCTATCTTTTCGGGATTTTCTTTCCTATTTACGCATGAATAGGTTTTATTTCGCTGCCACAGATGCAAATAGGCGCAGTTCTGTCTCAAAGCAAGTTATGGTAGAGCTTTTAGGTTGATTTGAAGCCAGAGCTTGTATAGTAGTTTAATAATGCCACCAAAAAAAAATACAAGTAGTACAAATGTATTTATTTTGTAAAATTAAATTTCTCCTATAAACACGTATACACATATTTCTTATAAAAATTTTCGATCCTTGTGACAGGCCGAGCTCTTTATAATTATCTCGGTCGTGCGAATAAAACGAATGGTGTCATTATTGGATCACAAATGCACTCTGAGTTAAAAAAAATTGTGAATTTTTTTTTATCAATACTTATCGGCCAATGATAATACATACATATACATATGTATGCACGTGTTTGCAAGTGTACTTAAAAATTGTGTTATCAACAAAACAACCAATTGTAGCTAATACTTTAAATAGCTGAATTTATAAAACCACGAAACATCATTTGTCTAATTTAAAACATACAAATATGCTTATTCATTCACATATGAACTATAAAATTTAAAAAATAAATAAGCTGTAAGCAAAAAGTGGAGTCGCACGTCATGGCTTGGTTTGGCGTGTGCGCCGCTTTAGAACACAAATTGAGGAGCTTGCAATTTAATCAGCTGCAGCGCGACAGCAATAAAATTTCCACACATTATTATATACACACATATGTATGTGTGTCTACAAACAATTGTGCTTACATACATACCGCATACGTATTAATACAAAATGTACGCTACACTTTATTAAGACAAATGCAGTGCTTTTTTTAAGAAACGAGCGTAAAAATACTTATCGTTTCAGGTATGCAGGCTTTGTTTTAGACTCATTTCGAAAAATTATGAATTTATGTGTTTCAATCAAATTTTCAATGGACTAAATACTACTTACATGAAAACTTTTTCAGTTTTTAACCGACTTCAAAAAAAGTATGAGGTTATCAATTCGTCGCAATATAATTTTTTTTTTTATGTATGTTACCGCGTAACTTCGGACCACGTTAATCGATTTCTATAATTTATTAAAGGAAAGATGGTACCTCAGTGATGGTCCCATACTAATTTAGTTAACATCCGATCATTGGATCATACATAAGTTAACGGTATTCTTAAATTTTTATATGAGAATTGAAGTCAGTTTTTTTTTTTGCTAAAAAATTACTTGTTTATATATGTACATTTCCCATGCAAAAAAATCGATGCCGTGTCCACCAAAATAATTCGAAAAAATATTAAGATTTGCGTGAGCTGGACGACTTGAAAATACCTCCAAAAATGGAGATTTTTATGAATAAAAATAGTTTCTTAACATTTTTTTTTTAAATCGCCTTAAATGACAAAACGGTTTAAGCTTAAAAAATTTGCATAAAACTATTTTTAAAAAATTGAAAAAAAAAATTTCGAACGGAAACGTAATGAGATTTTTGATGCATTTTTTTAACTTTTTTCAAAGATTGGTATAAGAAAAACTTGAATAACTGAACCTAAACTCTTCCAATTTACACTTGTGAGGTATCATTGGAAAAGTATTTTTATTTCTTTGGTCAGATGAAGGAACATTATTAAAAGTTTAATTAAGATGTGTTGGTATTTGAAGCAAAAAAGACATTGGGACACGAATGTTTTGAAAAGAAATAAAAATAGTGGGAAAATACCTTTCTACTGAGATCCCATAAGTCTGGTTTGGCCCAGTTATTCAAGTTTTTCGTAAATCAATCTTTGAAAAAAGTATAAAAACAGCATCAAAAATCTCATTATTACGAATGCGTTGAAAAGATTTTTTAAATTTATATGCAATTTGTTTAAGCTTAATCTGTTTTGTTATCTGAGAAACAATTTTAATTTATAAAAAACTCCATTTTTGAAGGTATTTTCAAATTGCTCCAGCTCACGCAAATCTTAATATTTTTCCGAAATATTTTTGTGGATGTCTTAGAATATAATAAACTTTGTAGTCCCGGCAGAAAAACCGCAACTTTTTTTCGGTGATGCAGGCTAACGTACATAGATATGTATGTATATGAGACGTTCCATGTCAAACGGACCAAAGCTTTGCCAAGAGCCATGGCAGGAAAAAATCTAAATATTCTTGCAATTTTAGAAATCTTAGATGTCTTCTCAGCGTAAAAACATTTAAACCAAAAATAATTTCTGATACATATGCATATTACAGTCCTAATATATATTATTGGGCCCCGTTTGACGATCAACAATAACAACTCACTTAATTGATTTTATTGTTTTTGTTAAAGTCAGCATTTCGCCTTCGATTTTATAAATAGTTTTTGCAAATATCAAGGCCAAGTTTTATGCAACCAGTAAATAGTTTGCTAGAACAATAACAACGAGAACAACGCTCGCGTGGAAACAAATAAAAAAGTGGTGAATAAATAAACTGCAATGAAATAAAATTAAGGAACACAAAATCACGAATATGTGCAGATGCATGTACATATATTTATATACACACACACACACACACAAAAACATTTGAACGAACCCCTGCAGAAAACAATTATCAATTCGTAAAATATAACCAACTTGTAAGTAGTAATGGCTTGTAGTTACCTACAAAAATTTAACTTAAAACTAATTGAAAAGTAATGCAGACGTAACCGGGAAAACAAATTTCTATTTAAATGTCCACAAATTTTATTTTGATATACTTTCTTGCTGCACTTCACAAACACTTTTTCGAATCGAGGACAAATAAAGTGAGATCGAAATTTTATATTATCATTTCGAAGTTATGTCTGACCAGCTACAGCAGAATATGTAAACAAATATGAAATTTAATAAAATAATGTAAATACAAAGTAAAAAATAAAAAGTATTTTGCTTTTCTAATTGACATTTTATATCCAAAAGTAGCTAGTAACAAGTTAGTTGACATCTAAAGCAGAGGTAGCCACCCTTTAGGGACTTTAAAATTTTAAAGATATGATTAATTTAAAAATTGATTTAAACAAAATCAGTGGAATCTAAATACATTAACGATATGGGTACCAAATAAAAGCTTAAATTCTGTACAATCGAAAAACGTTAAATTTTTTTGCTTTACAATGACAAATAAATATTGAAAATGCGCCTTTAAATAAATTCGAGGTTGTGGTCGTGGGTATATTAGTCCTAATGTATAATTTTTTCAAAAATAAATATTATTTTAAAAGGAAATTTTCCATACCCATTCGGCATTATGCGCAAAAAAAATATATTTTTTAATTCTACAGGATGTTTATTTGATATCCACATTGTTACATCTACATCGCACTAAAATAATTTTTTGAATTGATCATATTTTTGAAATTTCAAAGTCCTTTAAAAAAAACCTGATGTCTGAATGAAAAATTAGAAACCCAGTTTTACTATATTTTGCCCATATTTTCGCGATATATTAATTTCTGTGCGTTTAAATTTTACTGTTGCACGGTGTAATTAGATACATTTCCTGCAGGGACATTTGTATCAGAGTATGTGTCGTATTTATTAGAAAAATCAAATCGGGCTTGCGAAAACAATTTATTGGATATATGTATCTACATATGTACATATGTATGGATGTATATCCCATTTTTGTATGTATACATATATGTATGCAGAAATGGCAGTTACAAAAAGCACAACAACAATACGTAGCACAATAACAATAAGTTCAAATGAAGTAATTACAATCAGTTTGGGGCAAAGTTGGAAATGCAACCAACCAGTCGCCACAATCAACCGCTGCAGCGCCGCCATTATCGCCACCAGCTCCGGCTGGCTCCCCAGCAATCGTTGAGCTGCTGCTTGTTTCGTTGCGTTCACTGATTAGCTATGTTCGTATGTATGTATGTGGCTGCCCGTACGGCTGCTTCTGTGCGCAGCCAGTGAGTTACCAAAGACCAAAGTGCAAATTTTGAAATTAACTATTTTTTTCGCTATTCTGGTTGTTTTTTTATTATTGCATACATACATGGGTGCCTATATATGTACATACATATGTATGTATGTGAGCTCGTGCATTCATTTCTTTTTGTAATCGAATTTTATATTTGTTATTTGTCGCGCTTCTAATGTCTGTTTTTGTATGCAAGTGTGTACGTATGTACATATGTACATATGTACTATGTATGTATGTAGGTGATCATTTTGAATTGCATAAATGAAATATTTACATACTTACATACTTATGCA